AACTCGGGCTACTCCTATCCAACAGGAGCCACGAAACAGCAAACACATGGCCACCCCCTCAGTGTGTGTCTTCTCAGATCTGACAAGCTTCCCAATAAAGGGAGTCATTGTTACACAACAGTCAAAGAAGGAGAAAAATAAGAAAAGCTTGTAAGGTAGAATCCTGGCTGCATGTTGCGAGGGAATTTCTGTTTACATTGCTACCCAGGAGGGGACAGGATTGGAGTTGAAATATCACAAGAGTTGTTAAACAGATTCTGATCCAGGACTAATCTTGGGCTGTTGATCAATTTCTCCTTGAAGTTTAGGATAGCCCTCCTGCTAACTGTTACCCTCCTCTTCCCACTCTCCTTCTGTATAGAGTTGGAGTTCAGGCTCCATATTTTCTTATCTTGCCAACAAGGCACCGTGAGGCCTGGAGAGATAATTCTAGAGTGTCCAGTTCCTAGTCTGATATGAGAAGAGGCAACTTCTGGAGCCCCTACCTAATGAGGGAGTTATAGCCCTCTCCTTCAGAGAGTTCCTATTCTAATGGTAGAGACCCAGCCTATGTTCTAGAGGGTTCTGCAATGGGGTGGAGTGGGAGAGATACACACACGGCTATGCTTAAATGATACATGGAACCAGTGTTAACAAAAGTGAGTGATCACAAAGGTAGTCAGGATGATGGACTTAGGACCTGGTTTGGAAAGCTCCTGGAGGAAGTGCTGAAGAAATGGATTGGTGATGAGGAGAAGGGATTCTAAGCATGAAGTAGAGGTGTTCTTGCTATGAGGGCCAACACTGGGAATTAATGAGTTGGTTCCTTACTGAGTCTAGTTTGGATACTAAGTCTTTTCAGGCTCTTATTGAACTGTTGTTGAGATAAGAATTTCAGAAGCTCTAAGTCATCTGAATTAATATGTATGATGCGTCAGCTTTGCATCTAGCATCTTATGTGGGATACCCTAGAGGGCAGAGAACGAGACAGGCAAAGACATGGTTTTGGTTCTGTGGAGGTTTTAAGTCAGTCTCTCTCTCTCTCTCTCTTTCTCAGGCAGCCTAACTTTCCAGATTAGGGTGCCATGATCTCAGAGGCAGTGGTCAGTTAGGATTAGGGTGAAAGAACTCATGCCAGCTGAGCCAGATGTCTCTCCTAGCAACTTCTACCCACATCTTATTGACCAGGACTGAGTGACATGGCAACCCCTAGCTAAAAGGAAGTCTGGAAAGGCACATATCTCTATCTGTTTTTGCTAACTGAGAACTGGTGGGGGAGGATAAGTATTAGTCAGAGAACCATCAATGTCTATAGGAATACCATGGAAGATTCTGATTGGCTCAGTATAGTCATATGGTCATTCCTGAATCAACCACTATGGTTTACTTGTCAGTCCTCTCATTGGTCAGGACTGCTTCAGGTACTTAACCCTGTTAGAGTAGGCAGTCTTAACTGAATCCCATGGAATAGGATTTCCACGAGAAGGAATCATAGTGTCACCAGCAGAAGGGGCTAAGGGTTTGTAGTCCAAAAAAGGGGAAGCTGGGCAGGTAAACAACATACGCTCACTACAGAATTTTCCAGCATAGAAATGAAACATACCAAAAAGTAGCTTAGAAAATAAATAGCCTTAGGAATCTCCCCTTTCCTGATACAACATATACCAAGTTACGTTGTGGGAACCAAATATAGCCACTCTGAGAGGATGCAGAGAAGAATGGTTTAGAAAGGAAGACTTCCTGGTGGGAGTGAATTTGGAGCTGGGTTGTGAAGGAGGTGGTGTCTAGAGAGGAGGAGCAGGGAGGCAGAAACCCAGGGAAAAGCAACATGCAGAGGCCAGGAACAGGGTTGGCTGGGAGAGGAAGGGAGGATGAGCCCTGAGTGTTCCCATGCTGGGGCTGTTTTTCCTCCCTGAGGGTATCTGGGCCCTTCTTACCCCAAATTAGAGGCTTCTTTTTCCTGTTGAGTCTGTAAGTGGCTTTGGAGTAGCCATGCTAGCGTTATCTTGGTCTGGGAGTTTGGGCAGGGGAATAGGGGAGATCTCTAATGCTGAACTCCAGAGGAGAAGAGGAACCTGGGTTCAACACAGGAGCAAAAGACAGACCCTGGGAGTGAGCTCCTAATCCAATTAAGAAGTGATCATGTGGACATTTTTCAAGGGCTAGCCAGTTATCAGGCAGCTCCCAGGAGGTTCTATCTGGCAGCTTGACAGTTCACTGCTAAACCTGGGATCTGGAACCGTGGGCTGGTGCAGCAGCCGGGCGAGGAGCCCGGGCTCAGACAGTTGGGATGGGAATCTTTAAGGATGAACATGACAGCGCTTGCTGTTGTCATGGAAACTGACTCTGGGTGGATGAGACATGGCGAAATGGGTAAGTGTGGAGAGAATGCCACCCACCACTGGGCTTCATTGTGGGCAGCCAGCAGCTACCTCTGGAACCTGCTGTTTCAGCCAGCTTGTGGACTCTGTCTACCTCTGTCTGCCTCTTCCTAGGAGCATCACAATCTGGCAATGTTAGTGTGAGCTTACATCCATATCTGAGGGGTTTGGGGAGATGCCCTCAAACCAGGAAATCTTTGGTGTGGTACCTGCCACCTTAAGTAAGCTGTACCTGGCAGGAATATGATACAGTGCCAGAATGTGGACTATAGCTGGCCAGGACCACAGGGCTAGGACCAGGTGGCATGTCCCAGGGTGAGAATGATCCTACATTAGGGTGAAGAAACAGGAGCACTGGATTGAGTGTAGGTGACCTCCATGGTGATTCCAGATCTGTCATCACCAACTGGCTGGGTGGCCCTTGGCAAGTCACTTCCCTTGATGGGTGGTAAGATTCCTTCCAACCCCACTTTTCCTCTGTTCTAGGATTTGGAACTGGACAGTTCTGATCTCATCAGCCCACTGAACTACCCCACTCCAGTACAGAGAGTCCTGCAGAGAGACTAGTCTGGGCCCTTCGCAGGACACTGCACTGGATCCACAGCAGGAAAGATGCCACAGGTGGGGGCAGACCCCTCTTTAGGCTTTGTTGAGCTCAGAATGTCTGTGCTCCCAGGGAGGTTCCTGAGCTCACAGCTGCCCCCCAACTGCTGCCAGAGATGGGCCTTTAATAAGCTGCCTGTTGCAATTACACTTCCATTTCCAATAGGTGCTATTTTAATCGGAACTTTCGCTGGGACAAGCATGAAGGAAAAGCAATTTGCAATATGGACTTTTGACTCAGCACTGAGCACACACTTAACAATTCCATTTTCTCTGTTCTCTTTTCCTTTCCCTTCCTCTCCTCCCCCACTCTCCTGGCCCTGTCACTCTCCCTTTGCTGCCTCCTTAGTCATTGGCCTCCTCTTAACCCTACAACGGGCAGCTGACAGCATGGGCTGGAGTACAGGAGGGAAGGAAGGGGACCCAAGAATACTGCTGAGGATCAGGAATAGGAAACTGAGATGAGAGGTAGAAAAAAGAATGGCTTCCAGGATGACTAGTGAGCAAACTCTCAAAGAGTTCGAAAAACACTTGAAAAACAGTAACTAGGAACAAGAGCTTGGCAGGGCAGCACAAATCTGTAATCTCAGCTCGCAGGAAACCTGGGCAGGCCCAAGCCTGCCCTAATGATCTAATCACTGAGCCCTAAATCAACCACCCCATAGCTGTCCCAGACCCACAAGTTTTTACTGCGGAGGCTCCTTGCTGTTGGGGTGTTTGGAACCTGTAGCCCAGAACATCCTCACTGAATTTGCATGTTTGAATGTTTTTGTCGTCACTACAGTTCTGCCAAGTAGGCCATTATTAGCATCTCTATATCACATGTGAGGACAGTGACACTGAGAAAGAACAAGTGAAGTAATACAGAGAGGATTTGAATGCAGGTCTTCCGATGCCAAACTTAATACTATGTCCACAATTTTACTGCAGCTCTTAAGTCAATTCTAAGTGTTAAATACTTGTAATCCATTTGCACTCTCCTGAGAATCTCAGATCCTTTACTAACAATCACACCTTCTGAATAGGAAGGGCTCAACCCAGGCCTTATGCAACGCTAATTAGCTACAACAAAGCTTGGGTGAGCAGCCTTTTAGGGCCCTAGGCTGTGCGTAAGCACTTATGTGAGCTGCAGCATTCATTGGCCACAGCCACCCTGTGACAAGGACAGTATGAATCCCATTAAGGTTAAGAGAACAGAGACAAGGGAGAGGTGACATGACTTGAGGTTCCCACAAGTAATAAGGGGGTAGAGCTGATCTTTGTATCCAGATCACTAAAGCTCTTCTTCCCTGTTACAGAAATCACTTCCATTGACTGTGCTGTCAAACACAGGCACCCTATGTGAGAAGCCACTGGGAGGCAGTTATTATTGTCTCCATTTTACAGGCAGGAAACAGCCTCAGGAGATGAAGCCCAAGGTTGGACTGCTAAGAGGTGTTGCCAAGACTTTCATTCCCATCTCCAACACCACCATCTCCCCCCCACACCATCCTGCATCTCACAAGATCATGTTCAAGGTCTCCTGAGTTACGAGTCCTCCCAGGAGAGCTGAGCTGGTCCACACCCCACACTAGACTGCCAGCTTTTCTACTAGGTTTCATCAGCATGTAAACATAATGAAAATGGACTGGGGGAGTCTCAAGGTACACCGTAGTGCCAGTCCCTGCCCCCCCACCTCTGACCAATTGATGGCTTCACCAGGTGTGGGTGGGGAAGAGTCTAGGTGGCAGTGTTTCCTTAGGGGACACTGGCAGAACTCCAGCACACCCTCTTTTCTGCACACTTACACCAAAGATGAGGTTGCTGTCCTTCCTGATCACTGGCTCCTGGGTCCATGGAATCCAGGGCTTGAGCAGGGGTTCCTTTCCCAGTCCTTCTGGTTCTAGGATGACACCTAAGGATCCCTCTATCTGTGTTTACTACAAGGCCTCCCCTCTCAGTTTCCCTCCAATATTCTCTGGTCTTTGCACAGTCCCCTCAAAACCAACCCCCGGAGAACTGAGCTCCCACTCCTTGCTTCAGTCTAACTCCCCTCCCCCGCTGCCCCAGGAACACAGACCAACACCCTCCAGGCTTCTGCAGATCCCCCTCTAGGAAGCCTCCCAGCCACTCCCACTCATCCACTCTGGATAAACTTTCTGCTCTCAGAATGCAAATCTCTGGAATCTGCCCCACTTGCCTGATTCCTAATTGCTGCCCTGATAAGTCTCTTGTAATTACTAAATTAACTTTTTATGTTAAAAGTGGGCAATACTAGGCTTGGTCTTTTTTTTTTTTTTTTTTTTTAAGTGAATAGCTCAGGCCTCCTACATCTTTAACTGCAAATGGGTGACTCTCCAAATAGGTGACCGTAACACATTTACTACAAGGTGTCTTGTTATCAAAGGTGACTACAGCTCCTGTTCTGGAAATTCAGGTCTTGGGGTTGCCTGCCAAGGGTCTTCCAGGACCCCGGACTGAGATAAGAGAGGTAGAAAAAGAAGTGGCTTCCGGGACAAAATCACCCTAGACGCTGAGTGCACACCCACTCCCTGCACATAGCAACACGAATTTAACTGGCGCCCAGGAGATCAGGTCTTTATCTCTAGGGCTTTATCTTTCCATATTCGCAACAACCCACAGAGGTCTAGGGCAGTGTGATTATCCTGCCCACTGCCTGGCCCCTTGCCTCCATTACTGCACATACTCTGGGCACAGGAAACACTTAGCACAGGTGCAGAAAGGCGCCGGTAGGTTAGCAGAGCCAGGAGCTGGCCTCTATCCAAGTGACACTAGTTGCCCAGGTGGGAAAGGGGAAGGGGGGGAGTGGAACTGACTCCCTTCTGCACGGTTCATATCTATTCGCCTCTGATGACCAAAGACTCAGCTCTATGTCAGGCTTCTCAGGCCTCTGAGCAGCAACCATTTCTCCCCTGGGCTTGGAGCCACACAGATGATGGGCAGCTGATGATGGGCAATGACAGGTCAGCCCTCCCAGTGGCTCTTTCTCTCTGCCTCAGCAGCTAAAGGCTAACTAGAGCTTATTGACTCCCCCAGACCTTCCTCTTTCTCAGCCTCTCCCATTGTTCCTCTCCTCCAAACTCAGAGCCTGTCACCATGCTGTCTCCAGAAAAGCCCTTCCTAGTCAATGCCTCACTGGGATGGACAGCTGGTCCAAACTGTCGTGTCTCAACTACGGGCACTCTTGAGTGTTACCTGTCCTCTGGCTGTTTCAGAACACAGCCTGTTCAGCTTAACAGGATTACTAACCCCTTGCACCTGGAAGGCATTAAAACAGGATACTTGGGCTGTAGAGCACCTGCCTACCAAGCACTAAGCCCCAAGTTTAAGCTCCATGCCACCAAAAAAAACAAAACAGGAGTTAAAAGTCCTGAAACCCAGGCTCCACCAAGTAGCTCAGAACCATCAGGGATGAGGTCAGGAATTCCAGGAAGCAGCCAAGGTTGAGAATTACTGCTTCAGTCCTCTGGAGGCTACCACAAACACTAGGTCATTTGGGCTTCCTGCCCTCCTGGGAAAGAACATGGAACAGTTGCCTTTCTAAAAGGAAAGCTGAGGCTGAGAGAAGTGTATGTGTTTCATGTGGCTGCTGCCAGCAGGCCAGAACTAGAAATCAGGCTCTGCCTCTCACTCCATGATTCCTGCAAACCACAGAGGGCAGGGAGGTCCTCAGCCCTTTGTCTTCCCTGGAGCAGCTACAGTTTTGGGCACATGCAGGGCTCTGGGAGCAGACCCTGAAAGACTGAACACACGGTGGATGTCCTGTCCAGTGCTATGGTCCACTCTCTCCTCTTCCCTCCTGGGCCTGGGCAGGCCTCCACTAACCCTCCAGGAGGAGCCTCTACATCACAGACACCTGGAAAGAAGGACTGTGAGGCTATACCAAATGGCTCAGTCGAGTGCTGGCTGAGGCACCTTGCATTAGTCACAACTTAAGTCTTTAGCTTATCTAGGGTGACCAACCATCCTGTTTATGCTGGACCGGGGGTGGGGGGGCACTGTCAGGATTCAAGCTTTTTAGCTTTAAAACCCATACAAGATGGTCAATCTCCAGAACTCTCCTCAGGAGTGATTGACACATATTCCTTCATGGGATCCCACACCTCTTCCCCTTTTACTTCACCCATTACTGTTGTTGAAGGACTATGAACACATGGCCATAGCATTAGTGGCCTTGAATCTTCTGGCTTCTTCTGGCTTGGCCACAGCAGCTTTGCTGGACCACTGCACCCATTTCTAAGTCCATTACCTGCATGGGCTGGGCTCAAATGCCCTCCTGCAGGTCACCGACTCAATAACTCCTGACCCCTGCCACGTGAAGGGGAGGCAGCTCCCCGCAGTGAGGAACAAATACCATTCCCCAGGAGACAGCAGGGTGATAGGCATGCAGGAAGCAGGTTTCATGGAGGTGATGCATGCCAAAGGAAACATCTTGTGTAAAGGTGCAGTTGTGGCAAAGTGTGTGGCATGTCCCAAAGCCAAGCAGTAAGGGAGAATGGAGCACTGGGTAGGTGGGGTGTGGAGGGCTGGGAGGTGCACTGGAGGGGCAGGGAAAGGATGGCCTGTCACACTTTACTCAGTAGACAGAAGGATTTGGGTCCTTTCCGAATCAGATGGAGAATTAGGCTTCCACCCCCTTCTAGCTGGTCTAGCACAGTGGCCCTCCAGTGTAGCTGGAGTGAAGTCCATGGTAGCAGCCTAGCCTTAGTCTGTTCTAGGCCATGTCTACGCACTAAAATCACCTAGGCAATGTATGATGCCCAGGCTGTAACCCCACTAATTAATAAGAGGTCAAGGTAAAATACCCTCACCTCACCTGGTATTTTTAAGTTTCCAAGGGGATCCTGATGTACAGTCAGATGCTATAAGGACACAGGGATGAGATGGGTAGCGTCTGGCACAGAGGTTCTATGGTGGGGAACTTATCAACTGCATTTGAGGGGTCAAGCACCTGCCAGAATCACCTCTGTCCCCTACCTAGCCCATTTCTTTCCTCCCCATCTGACACATGAAAGGACATAAAAGGGGAAGAATGACCACACTTGAGGAATGTTTTCCATGCTTGTTTACAGGATGTCTACATGCCAAGGAAATGACTGAAGGAGAGTTCTGTAACTTAGCTAGGATTCAGAGGTCTTTTTTTGGCCATACTGGGAACCCCAAGAGTAGCCCAAAGCCACAGCTCAGCAGGGAAATTTGGATCTAAAGGGAACCCAACCAAATCTGCACTTAAGGGCAGAGCAGTCATAGGTGGGGCTGTTTTGCCCTCTAGTGGCAAGGTGCAGGTATTGTCTCAACCATCCCCCAACCCGTTTCCAGAGGCTCCTTCAAAAACATTCACCCTGACCTTCTTCCATGTGAAGTGTGAACAGCCTGCAACAAATGTCTAATAGTTCTGTGCCCAGTGTCAGCAGGCCACCTTGGTCCCCGCCCCAGCACAGCAGCTGCAGAGTGCAAGAGGGAGTTTGGTGCAGAGCTTGGATTATAGGTTGGCCAGACAAGGAGTCAGCTTCTCTGGGGCTCCCTGTGGGGCCTTCGGAAAGTCACTAAAGCACAGCACAGCAGGGAGGGCTTGGCAAGATTAACAGGAATGCACAAAGAGAACTTTACCTGACTTCCAGCAAGGGCTATGGGGAAGCCAACAGTATAAGAGTCTGATCTTTGCTTGAGCACAGCCTCCACTCCATTCAGTAACAGATTATGCTTCTCTTTGCCGTGGCTGCTGGGACCCAAAGCCAAAGGATTCCTCAAGATGAGTCTGCAGGGCTTCATGACTTGCACTTGAGCTTTTCTCTTACTTATATTTTGTTCTGAATTGACTTGTTTATAGTCCTCACTTTATATTTCACTGTTTTACTTCCTCTTTTTTTGCTCAACATTTTCCCCACCGTGGTGCTGGGGATGGAATTCAGGGTCTTGTGCATGCCAGGCAAGTGCTCTACTCCTCAACTACAGCTACAGTCCCATCTTCTAGTTATTTTCTCTGAGTCTCCTCAATCCTTTCTGGAATAAGGTAGGCTACCCATAAGACTTCATTATGGACTTGACAAGTCTTGCTCTTCACACATATATGCTGAGTTAGTTCTGGGTATACTTTCCAATGCTTTTAACTTTAAGACAAACGTGTTCTGTCTAGGAGACAGTGGTTCCAAAAGATGATCAGAATTACCTTAGAGACAAAAAAATGTTCTAATTCAGAAGGTCTGGGATAGGCCCTCACCTCGCCCCTTGCTCTACAGCAGTGTTTGAGAGTCTCCAGCTTGGAAACAAAAAAGGGATGACTGGTCAATGTTTTTACAAAGTGAATGTCAAATGCTTTTACAAAGTAATTTTCTAAATAAAATAAACATTTACTTTATTTGACTGATGTGTTTTGAAAACAATGCATATGAATCCAAATTTGCAAATCAAATCCATTTAAATTCAACAGGGCAAGCAGGGTTTTTTTTGGGGGGTGGGGTGGAGAACAGCAGTGAAAAATTGAGCCTCTCCTGTTTACTTGATCTTTGGATCAAGTACCTGGAGTCTTGTCTTTGGATATGTACCTGGAGTACATGGCCATTTAATAAAGACAGTCCAGTTCCTCCTGGCACCCACCTGTTTCAAACAACAGGTATGCCTAACTCCTGCACCAAGTGGCAGGTGCTGCCAACTTTGGAGCTTACAGCCAACTCCTTGAAGAACTCAACCAAATTCCATTAGGGGGCGCACCTTCCCTGGCCTGCGACCTTCCCTACAGGCTGGGCTATGGAGGAGACAGATGCACGTAATCAGACCAAGGTATTCTCATAGGGCACTGGACTCAAATGTGAGGGAGGGCAGTCATATGAAAACAGCTGGATCAGTGCCCCTGGTCTCCAGATCCACTGGGCTGTTGTTTCCTAGCCCCAGGTGGTAATGACCCACATCCTAGCATCACAAGTTTTATTCCAAAGTAGGGAGACTTGGCTCTTAATGTGTAGCACGAAGGTTCCTCAGTTAAGGATCACTATAAAGTCAAGTGCAGAAACTCTGGTATATGCTAGAAAAGGATCTCCTGACAGCCAATGGAGGGCTGGGGGGAGGGGAAAGGAGAAGAGGATTTTGCCTCCCAGGGTTCAAGTCTAAATGGCTCAGCTATGATTTGGACTCTCCAAAGTGTGTTTGTCTGGCAGGATCTTTAGGTGCTCAGGGAACAGGAAAACCAGGTCTTTGCAGTCCAAAACTCCATTTTATGGTCCAACAAGAACTCCAATGCTGGCTGTGATAAAAGTTTCAAAGGGTGCCTCCCAAAGTCAGATCTAGGTTTGATGATACTGCAAAACCTCTGCCCCAGGCCACTATTTTCACTCCACAGGGTTGTCAATCCTTTTTAGAAGGGGTCATAGATTCCTTCTTTCCAGACATCTAGGAGTCATCTGACCAAGAGGGGTAGGAGTGATGGATATTATGTCTGACCAGAAATACGAAATTAGTGCCCAGGAAATTCATGTTATAAATCTGTGACAGTTAAGAAAATTCACCAAGGGGGAGCTACATCACAGATGTGTCAGAAGAGACTAATATTGATACAACAGGTGAATAAGGCAGGTGGAATGGAACACATACTATAGAGGGGAAAGAAGACAGAAAACTGTTCAAGCAACAAGGGACAAACACAGGAAGCAGGTGGGGCAGTACACTCTAAAGTGAGGATAATACTGACCAGGTTTATGGTTCTTTTGGGGAATTGTGAGTGCCATTTTGTCTGGCCATGAGGCAACTGACCTTAAAGTTGGTAAGGCAGGCAGGGCCTGTGACGGATGAACAAATATGCTAGCCAGTCTTTACTTTCAGCAACTAATCATATTAGATGGACCTCAAGACAGACTGGTTTCTAATAAATTCCACAATATAAAAGCACATTATACAACCTTAATCCAGGCTGGGCAGAGAAGGAAAAAGGTCCTGGTCCCTGAAAACAGTCTTACAAGGATATCTACACAATGGACATCTCCAGGCTGAATGGGGCCTCAGCTGGTGAGTGCTAATATATTTCAAGGAAGAAAATCAAAAGAATTAGAGATGCTAGAACTAGAGGTGAGACTGCAACTGACAATCACTAGCCTTTGCTCACTGCTACTTTCAAAGGGGTAAAGGCTCACCAAAGCTTGGCAGAGGTATCAAGCTGCAGTCTCTGAACCGTAAGAGCAAGACTATTCTATTAACAACTGGAAACACTTGATGACTTGGACCTTCAGTCTCCAGAATGAATGCCTTCAGGGAACAACACTGACCTCGTCTCGGGAAGGACAAACGCCCAGCAAGCAGAGTGTGGAAGAGCTTACACACTGTTAGCAACAGCCCCCAGGCAGCTGCTTCCAGGAAAAGATGATGAATGTTGGCAGTTAGTCATCTGCATGTCATTTTTTCTCGAGGGTGGTGGTGGCTAGGAGCAAAAACATGTGAACTGATCTACTTCAGAGGGTGCAGGAAAAGAAGGCCTCTTTCCTCTTCTTTCTGCTTGTGCTCCAGCCTACCCATGAGGAGCCACAAAGGCTGGGTGATGACAAGGTGTGGACGGCCCTGCATCCAAGGCTCACTGTGGTAGCCTTCCAGTGCACCAGCTATGTGGACAAAGCCATTCCTTCCTTCCCCCCCAGCGAGAGTGAGAAACAGAGAACAGGGACTTCTTTCATTTCCTAAGCACCATGCACCTTGGTGGCACTAGCTTCCCCTCCAAGATGTCACAGCAAACAGAGCAGGCTTGATTACTCCCAAGTGGTCTTCACAGTTAAGGCAGGCATACATTTAAAAGGTGGCCTTCCAGCCCTCCTCTTCCTCATACATGCACACACTCGCACTGCACTCTTACACTGTGGAGCGCTGTCCTGTGCTGGGTGTGGCTGGCTCATGTCAGGTACTGCACCACAAGGAACATGACTGCGCAGGTGAGCAGCATTCCACCGATCATGAAGTACTTGTCCTGAAAGGCCCGCTTCTCAATGAGCCGCATCACGGTGTTGGACAGGCCCAGCATGTTGGCAATGTCAAGAATCTTTTTCTGAGTCCCCTAGGACAGATGAGAAGAAAAACAAAGATCAATCCCATTGCCAAAGGTGGGTGATGGTCATCAGGAACTGAAGCTTCGTGGTCATGCCTAGAGCACAGACAAAGCAATATACAAACCAGATCCAAGTACCAGGGCAATGCAAAGGGGGGAAAAAAAAAATCTGTTGCACAAATGGTGCTAGTTCAACTGTCTACATAATAAGTTTTATCATGTAGATGCATCATATACACATAAATGTATATTTCATATATATTATATGTATAAAAAATGAACCTTAGCTCACATTATATATAAAAATTCAAGATGGATCACAGAATTAAACATAAAAGCTTCTAGAAAAAAACAGGGCATCCAAAAACCAGAGAATGAATAAACAAATTATGGTGTATCTGCACAATGGACTACTACTCAACAATATTAAAAAAAAAAAAACCCTAATTATCATATGTAACCCAACATGTAGTAACATGAATGAATCTTGGAAACATAGAGAAAGAAGCTACACACAAGACAGGAGGAGTATGAATACAGTTACATGATAATGGGCAAAACTAATTTGTGATGAAACAAATCAGAATAGTGAGTTGCCTGGGAAAGACTGGTAGTTTGATTAGGAAGGGGCAAAAGGATCTTTCAGGGGCAATAAAAAGCTATATGCTTTGGTCTAAATTCACTGAAGTAGGCCAAGTGCAATGTCTCGTGCCTATGGGCCCAACTACTTGGAAGGTAGAGGTCAGGAGGATCAAGGTTGGAGGCCAGTACGGGCAAGAAGTTAGTAAGACTGCATCTCAATCAATAAGTTGGGCAGTGGTGATACATGCCTGTGATCCCAGCTACTCAGGTCTGAGGCTAGCCAGAGGCAAAAAGAGACTATCTGAGAGAAAAGGGCTGTGGGGCTCAAGTGGTAGAACACCTGCCTAGCAAGTGCAAAGCTCTGAGTTCAAATCCTAGTACTGCCACAAAAAAATTTTAAAAATTAAAAGTAAATTAATTAATTAAACTAAATAGATAAAATCTGTATACATTATTAAATATAAATTATACCTCAGTAAACAAATTTAAAATTAGAATATTTTATATTTTTTAAAAGTCACATCAAAAAAAATTTTCCTTGGTTCCCTAGCTCCAATAATCCTTGACAGTGAACAGGTTAGTACCTGTTCATTTCGTAGAGCAGAATCTTCAGGGATTCTACTGAGTGCAATGTGTGGGCCAAAGTTCATATTTACAAAAGAGTTTGAAGTAGGAAAAAAAAGAGATAGAAACATGACAAACAGATACCACCACAATAACTTAAAGCCCCTTATAAAAATGTCACCACCTACCACCAAAACAAAACCAA